GAATCGAAACGTCATGGTATCGAACGTCCAACAGGCGAAGCTCGCGCAGTGGGGGACTGTACTCCAGAAAATCCCACGCCGCATCGTCCGACGAATTGGTTGTGGCGAGATGCTGAAGAAGAGGGAAGGAGGTACGCAGCGGGCGAACCTTCGGGAACTGTTCCGGCCAAAGGTGGAGATCCAGGTGTTGGATCTGACCGGCGTATGCCTCAACTACCTCAAGAAGAGCTGGGGATACCCTTCTCATTGTGAAGTTCAGTCCTAAGGAAAGAGGGCTTCCTTTTGCGCGGGAAAACCACGTTCGAAGTAGATGTTGGGCGCTGTAGTTGGGGGCAAAAGTGCGCTCCCCCATTACGGTGTCAAGATCAAGACCACCATCTATATAGAGAGATTTCCAGAGTCCACAGGTGGACAATGCCACCTCGCGCCAATGGCGACAGATCTGCGCGACGATGAGCGGTGCTGAAGTGGCCGACGGGGCAACGCGCCCGTGGGTGGGGAGGCAGTGGAGGAATATGTGGGATGTGACGTCAACTGGAAGGTCGAGGACGGGGTATTTGACCTTGGAAAGACTGGTCGCCAACCTCTTTTCCTCCTCTTCGAGCGTTACGATGCATTTTTTGTAGAGCATTATCTGCGATTTAACTGCCGCCAGGGCATCGCGCTGCTCTTGGGGAGAAGAATGGCACGGAAGGGAAGAGTGTGGTAAATGTGGCTGCTCAAGCTTGCTCGAGGCTTGGTAGTAGCCACTGGCAGACATGGTCGTTTTTCCAGTGGCGTTGTGTTACAAAGACGGATAAGCAAGACCAAGCCGAGCCAATCTTCGATGCCGCCAATGCCGATTGCAATCAGTTCAAAAAGTTCAACGTTCGACTCCGATTTTATTTATCTTTGAGAACTTTGATATTGGTTTCAAGCCAAGTTATAATATAGGCTGTTGAGGATGACTCAAGCCCGTACGAGCTATACGACGCATAATGCTCGAATAGCCGCAGCCAGTCATTGAAGTACTCTTCGAATAACGTGGACTGTTTTATTATTCGTCAGTGGGTGATTACAGCCATTCATTCGAAAAAGGAATCCATCACCTTGAATACGAGCGAACCGGACCGCATGAGGCCGAGAGAACGTGGCGCCGTCGATGTCCAGGGCGTATTTGAATCCGTGCACGTCCTCCCGCGGCTCCCCCACTCCCGTGATATTATAAGCCGCAAGCACCGCCGCGCGGTCGCACCCTTCCTGGCAATAGGACTCCGTGAACGTCGTTATTCGCACGTCCATGAGGTCCGGGTGTTTGCGTACAATATGCATCAGTCGGAACCGCGGAAAACGGTGGTAGTTGTCACCGACGATCAACCCGCCGCTGGCCGTGCCGCGCCAGTCTGTAGAAAAGAGATTCCTCAGCGTAAGCAGAATGAAGAGTTGTGAAGAGAGGGATGGGACTTGCAAATTTGTGACTTCTTCTCGTGCCATGGAACGTTGTACGGAAAAGAGAATTTCCCCGACCACCAGCTGCGTTCATAGTAATGCTGAGAGCTGCATCAACCGAGATAAAAAGTGAAATCTGAATGCAAACACACCTGGGTTGGGTACAGAATATCGGAGAAACAAGGCGATACCTTGGACATGCTGAACATTGGGTACAGATCGGTGGTATACCCCGGTTTGGCGCTCTCAATCAGAACTGAACGAGGAATATCAGAGCAGCACGAAATGTGATAGAGCCAACACCACAAACAGTCACTGAAATTGCGTGCGCTCGTTTGCAGTCCAGTCGCTTCCAAGGGTACATCGCAGCCACTTTGGTGAGCGAAGAACTCGCTTGTGGGTCGATGGGATAACTGAAATGGTGTCGAGTCATTGATGAGCAAAGCGTTTTCTCGGGCTCCAGGCGCCCGAAAGTTGAATGCTACGCACGGCTCGTCTTTGCCATTGATGAAAAACGTCATATTTGGCAGCCAACGAGAGAACTGTAGCAGAATAAATGCCATAGATTGAAGAACAAATAACGAACTAGCACAAACCTTCCCCACTAGGTCCGAGAGGTAACCTCCGTACGCAGTCCAGCCTGTCATCGTGACCTGCCCGTCCTGAATGACCATAGTCGCGATCTCTGCACCGTTCTTTTCCAACTATGATACGCGTCAGAAGAGTGAAGGGCCCGAGCTACGCATACGCACCGCCTCGTCCGCACGATCTACCATGTCTTGAAAGAAGGTAGGATTGTCGGCAGCCAGCTGGTAAAATTGCTTGAAGTCGCGGTGAACGCGGTCATACTCATCGATCATGCAGCGCTTGTCCCGCGCGAAGCGATACCAGTCGGCATAATACGGAGGCGGCGGACGTCCTGTGTGGAGGGTGTAACGGCCGGATGCCTCGTCGAGTGTGCTGGACTGCCGGGCGAACAGTGCGTCAACGGCAGCGCGTGCAATAAGGGATGGGTCGCTTAGAGCGAGGCTTCTGTGGGTGGAGGGAGCGTGCGGTGAAATGGTGTTTGAAAAGAATTGCGAGCAAGCCGGCCAGGCCACCAAGGAGTGCTGTAATTGCTATCAGATAGGGCCACCATCTCTGCATGGTCCCCCAACCTCGATGATATGGTGGGTTCTGGGACTGCGGCGGTGGATAAACCTGGTCCGCATATGTGAGAAGGAGTGGAAGTGCGGACTCTTCAGCGTCGTCGGACGGGAGGACGAGTCCAGATTTCGAGTGGTTTTGGAATATTCGTAGAAAGTTCATAGAAAACTGGTAGATACCCCGCCCCGACAGTTTTGTATATCATATGCTCCCACCACTCCACTCAACGGGGCACGGAGGAATAACGCCGTGTGTGGGGTGGATACAGTGGCTCGTGCACTGGCTAGTACTGGGGATCAGCGAAGCGCCAATCCTGATGATCGCCAGCTCCTGAAGTTCTACGAGAGTATTTTCAGCTAGCATGACTATCTCCTGTTAAGGCTGAGAGCCCCTGGATGCGCGAAATCCTACCTCGTCCTCAGGGATGACTCAAACAAGACCAGATGAGCTCTTCAGAGCGCAAGACTTAAGCTTGGGATTCTTATTCTTGTTAGCAACATTACGATAACTCGGTGCACCTACCCAACTTGCACACCCGGCGTCGATCGGCCGTCCGATGTGTACACGGCTCCATGTTGATCAGATCCGCTAACGAACTGCGGGGTAAACTCGCCGCACAAACTTTGTTGCTTATCGCTTGTTTATCCTCAGTTTGCCGATGGCCCGGTGTCAAGGCACCTCCAGCTGGTAAGTCATTTGGTATTATGCCCAAGCGGTGTGCGTCAAAGCTTTCCACGGTGGGATTCGGTACGTAGATTCTGAAGTTGAGGCAAGAAACAAATATACGGGTCGTGATTTTCTCTGACAATTTCGGTGCGAAAATCAGAGACGACACAAGACAAAAAATGATCGTTGTACTCACCACTCACGACTTCAGTACTCGCGACTTCAGTACAAGGAGAACGGCTACGTATTGTTGTCGATTAGCAAAATGTAATATTTAGCTCGAAGGAATAAAAGGAATCAAATGAGGAGCACGGAGTTACCTTTTACATCCTTCTGTCGGCGGCGTCGGGGAACGCGAATGGATCTCCGGCGCAGTAGTTTTCCAAACAGTTCCAACCGACCCATGACTCGATGCCAAGCCCGGAGTGTGAACTCTTGGGTCGGAAACAGCTCGAGGCCATCAGGAAGTATGCAACAAAGGCAGGACGGTGAAGGGCTCGCACAACCTGAAATAGGAGTGAGCAGGTTGCCAGGTCGAAGGACAGCAAAGGAGGCCGGGATCAAGCGTACATTGAAGCGCGATAGTCTGATAAAAGGAGAGCTCGTGTAGATCTCGCACAAGGGAACTGGCGGCCCAGTGATTATAGGTGGGAAGGCCTGATGTAATTCACGACGTGATTTTAGGATTTTGGCCTCCAGGTCTAGTCAAAATCCCGACAAATTTGGTTTTCGAGCGAAGGCCTGGAAAAAAATCCTGACGAAGCCCGCGTCAGCGGAGGAAAATTTTGGAAAAAAGCCCCTAGGGCCCCCCAAATGGAGCTGAAAATTTGGCCTGCTACACTTTCCCCGGCATTATTCGCCAAATTTGGGGTCTAGGCTGGTTTCATTCCCGACATTTTTCATGAAATCAGTTCCGACATTTTTGGTCCCAAAAAATCAGGCCTTCCCAGCTATTATCACCGGTCCTGGAACCGGATGAGAAGTCAGGAAGGCGGATCTACATAAATATGCGAAATGTCAATCAAATTGTGTGCACAGCACACGTTCACTCTTGACTCGCTCCAGGATTTTTAATCACCCGCCACACCTACCCAACAATCCCTCAAGCCCCCGTCAAGCGAGCCGAGCGCCTCGATAGCACGGACGATGGACACGCCTTCTATCACTTCACCGAAGACAACGTGGCGGCCGTTCAGTTGGAACGTCGTTCGCCGGGTCGCTTGGTGTGGTGGGGGCAACGCAGCCCCCCCTAGGCAGATGCTTCAACAAAATTGAGCTCGTACCTCGCTTGTTGAAACGTTGGCACGGTCGTGATGCATTGACAATTTAGGAATAAGCTTCGACTTGAGAGGATAAACAGCTTAAAAATCATTTCTCAAGCTCCACGCAGTGGACGTCCGCGGCGAGCGGTTGCCCCATGCAGTCGGCCCAGCGGCGAGTGTCAAGGGGGGGTCTGCGGGGGTCTCCCCCGCGCCGGATTAATTTCAAGGCTGAGAATGAGCTTAAAAAGTTGAAAATTCAGAAAACTAATAGGCTACTGCGCTCGGCGAGCCGTCAGGCCAAAGGAGGGGGGTCTGGGGGAAACAATTTTCCCCCCAGCAGTTAATATACATCGAAACTTACCCTAAAATACAGCAGTAGACAGAGAAACAGCGAAACCGGCTTGCTCAAGCCGAGAATGATGTGTTGATGGGAAGTGATGGGACTCGAATCAACACGTCTTTCCGTCTTCACTCGCTCTGCCGCCACCCTCCTAATCTCCGACTTTAGCTCAGTTGGAAGAGCATCAGACTGTAACGTCCTTTCGCATTGCCCATCTGAGGGTCGTCTGTTCGAACCAGACAAGTCGGATGGGGCCACTGTCCCTGTCTTTTTGGTTGTTGTTGTTCTTCTTCCCTCCTCAAGTCGGCGACCGCAACACCTTGCCAACAAGCACCAGTTGCCAGGAGCGCACCTTGAAGCAATGAGGTCGCTCGTGGAGGTAAGCCCTGTGTTTATGGTTCAATGTCTGGGTAGGTCATAGTAGCCGAAGTTGGGACAACTATGTAGAGTCTGTATATGTCAGTGTAAGTGAGGGTAGGTACATCCACAGAGCTCCACAGACCTGAGTTTTTCTTGCCAGCTCTACTGTTATTGGGATTGAGTTCCAACACTTCCCGTGGTGTTCATTCGGTGTTCAAACATGTCCGGAGATCATTACGATGATTTGTTGTTGGATCGATCCACAGCCAGTCACAGCCTCGCTGATTGGCAATCCCGTCTATTTCCGGTATCAACTCGCTCGAGATCACTACAAAAGCTCGGTTCGCAAAGTATTCAGCTGTTCTACTCTGCTGGTCGGTTTTCCTTCCTATATTTTCTTTCTGACCTATCTCCAGCCTTTGATCGGCCCTCTCGGCCGAAGTCCACGGAACAAGCCGATAGCAAGTTCACACTGCATTTCTTTCAACGCCGCCATCTACAATAACCCAAAGACACATCAGCAATGGTTCCTCCGAGAGTAAATACTGTATTTTGATCCTGTGGAGGTGGCTACACAGACCTACCACGACCTACACTGACCTAAGCTGACATACACTCACATACACTGACCTGCCCTGACCTATATAGAGCTAAACAGAGCCTGTCCAGCGACCTACACAGACCCATCTGTGAAGCTCTGCGTAGGTACCTGAGCTGAACCTCTGTGCAGGGGGGGTCTGAACGCAGTGATTCTGTCCGGGGAGGCCAAACAGATGGGGAAAAATACTAGGTGATTGCAAAGGTCAGATCTACCTCCCAGAAATTTTTCAGATTTTTTTGCATTTTTTTTCCCCCACACTCCAAAGTGTGCAGCCACCCCGGCTTTCTCGGAGTGTACAGCGACCCTCCTACAGACCAAAGGCCGCCGAAGATAGATAGTACCAAAATCCAACTCAAAAATACAGCCCAAAAATCAAACATGAACATTTCACAGGTGTCTTCGGATAAAGTTGAGCAGCAAAACCCCTAAAAGCAACAAGCCCATCGCATTCTCACCGACGCGTCTATCGTTCAACCCCGAACTTGGGACGGGCGTGGGCGTGGGCCTCGGCTTCTCAGATGGACAACTGAAGTCCTCGATCCCAATGCACTGATAGTATGGATATCCCGACCCGCCGCACTCCATGAAAACGGTGGCATTTTGCATGTCGTAGCCCTCCATCAGGTCGTTTACGCATTGCAGCAAGAGGCCTGGCATTGTTTATAACATACATCAGTCTCTGGATCTGGAACCAAATAGATGGGGGAAATGGGCATACACACCGGTCGGACTGCACGAGAACTCGCTGCAGATTTCCTGCGTGTAGGTCATGCCGCCGCCGGAAAACGTGGGTCAGACCAAGGGCCGCCCGCACTGGATAATACATTATCTGGACAGGCCCTCTCCTGCGGATAACGGCCGACATCTTGATCTGTGAAGGATGAAGTGGGTGGATGGAACAGGGTAGGCGAGAAGAGCTCGAAGAGAGCGCAAGGGGTAATCAGGTTGATTGCACAGCTATCCTGCATTTGATGTCAGGCTTCTATAAGTACTGAGAGGAAATGAGGAACGGAAAAAAATAAGAGGCGGAACGAAAAAACGGTTCCGACATAGTGAGATTAATCGGCACTTCACGATCAACTGACAGGGCTGGGGGAGGAGACCATATGCATGATCTACAGTATGTACAAACGAGCTGGCAGGAGTGAATGATAGACCTGCACGAGGGAAGAGGGGAAGCACCCTCACTTCTATCGTCGACGGCGATAGCCCAAGGTGTGCAAATTTTAACATGAGACTGAATTAGCGATCGCCACGAATGAGCCTACCCGTGGCGGGTCGGAGATACGGGTGAGACCAGCGATCGTGTTATCATTTTGACAGATTATCACCCGACTTGCGACAGTTCCCGCTGTCAAAATTGAAGCTAAGTCGTCACCCTAGCGGAATAAAGATGAAGGGGACTGACCTCTAGTTAGACAATCATAGGTTCAGCGTCCCGCGGATCGCAAAGAGCGGGGACTATGAATCGGAGTATGAGTAGACTGGAGTGAATGGACAATGGATTTTACGAGGTATCAAGTTGAAACGCACCTGGATACGAGCTCCTATTCGGAATGTTTCGGCCTTCAAGCTTCGAGTTATAGTTGTGAAGTCGGCGCTCAGTGTGACTTGAATGTGTGAAGGTAAACGTGTGCAAGAACTATGAACACTGCCCATGTATTCGAGCTCAAGTGAAAGTGAAACAAGTCAGCTCTAAAAGAAAAGACCAGTGAAGGTTCGAGACGGCGCACCTGATCTGGCTGTAGATGACCAGAGGACAACGGAAGATAAGCCTCGGCCTTATGGACCTTGGACAACTTTGACGATGACGGCAGGTAGAAACGGAGGACTCAATTCAGAGCTAAGTTCCAACGAGTGAGCGAGGTTCTGTTGAAAAATGGCGGCAAGGTCAGTCTGTTGTGAAACGAAGTAGGTCAAGCACGCACCATCAAGCCATCTATAATCTCACGCAACCGGTGTATTCGCTCTTGAAGGAGAAAAGACTAGACGTACGAAAAGAGTGAACACCGGAGCTTGTGAAACCTTGAGACCCTGAGCCAGCAAGTACGAAGTTCGGGTGTGAGCCGAAAGATAGTCATGTTTGAGGTGCGAAAAACAGAAAGCGACTGTGTCGTTGAGTCGTCGAGACAGGATGGCGGGTAGGCCGACCCCATCGGCCCTTGGCCTTTTTTCTTACCGCCTTGAATATTTACTTGCAGAAAGAAGAACACCAGGAAAAAAGGTCAAATTGGTTGAATACTGTATACAACTCAGATGAAGGAAGGGTTATAACATGGAGGTGGCCCAGGACGACAACCTAGTATCTGGGGAACCGGTCAAGTATGGATGGACCATCAAAAGTCGCCCAAAGGGGTGCGTAGAGGGGGGTGGGCCGCGGCAATGAGCTAGCCCGAGTCATTGGTCGCTGGCATTCCTACGCGAACGGAGATGAGGACCAGGAGACGGGGTGGGAAGGCTTGTGCGGGTTCCAACCTGCTGCGCATGATTCGGACTGCTACGATATCGTGTGCATCTCAAAGACAGGTGGACATGCGCGACTGGGAGGTGGTGGTAGATCCGTACGTCGGGCGCCAGCGAAAGTGCCTTCCCCACTCATCCTTCTCCGCCCTAATCGCACCAGTCCTCATGCAGGCCAGGTGGCTCCCATTCGCAACGCCCATATCGGCCGCGACGTAAATGTCGTTCCTCGGTGGCGTTTGGGTCGTCCCGCAACACACTTGCGCGCGCGTCTGTCCTCGTGGTACCGTCCTCGTCGCTATATTCTCCCTTCAGCGAATGCCCGTGCGCCATGGGAACGGGGGTGGGGTGGACGAACGCGGGGAGGGGCGGTGAGGGCGATGAGAGGGATGTCGCGCATTGCATGCGTGCGCGTGAGCCGGCTACGGCGGCTGCATACGATTTTCGATGCGGCTGCATCGCGCATCGGCGGGATCGCGGAGAGGACCCGAGGCGGCGAGCGCGATGGGGTGCCGTCGGTGATGAGACATACATTGAGACGGGTGGGAATGTCGGTGGGCAGGGTTCGGCATTGCGCATCCAACTGCGGGGTGCATGGGGCAGGCTTCGGGTTAGAATGTATGGCTGCGGCACACAAAGCGATGTGTCTGCATGTTGCCGAGCGCGGTGGATGGCGTTGTAGAGCATATGACAATAACACAGTAAGCGATGCGACAGTGCGCGCCACCGACGTGCGTGGAGGAGGGCGGCCTTTGAGCTAGACAGTGGGGATGCCAAAATGGGGCGATGTTTTTGTGACGAGCGATGCACCTGGTAAAACATCGATGGGTGGACGGAAGGGTCGCGCGGGAATGTCTCGTCGCCGGTGAGAATGCGCGGAAGGAGGCGTAAAAGCGGATCTGGGAGGATTGCGTGGATAAGAGAGTACCCAAGACATCTAGGAAAAGCGTGAGCAAAGAAAGAAAACGGAGTGAGATATAATTGTACGCACCGTTTCGACCACGGCGCGTGGCGTCTAGGGCATCGTCGTTGAGGGCAATGGTGGGATTGCGCGAGCGGGGAAATGAGAGCGATAGGGCCACTGGGCTTTGTCGCACGATGGGGTTCTGCGAGTGGATGTACATGCAAACTGACGCCAGACGGTGGATCGACCAGCGCAGGGGACGCGTATGCCACAGGGAGGCATCAAATATACGGCAGGGAGGAACAGGGAGGCCCTGTGGAGGTAGAAAGGATAATTAGGATGTGAAATGAATGGGAAGAGACAAGGACGGAGTGCGTAGACGAGAATGAGCCGATTTACTCAGCAGGACGGCAGAAACCTGTGCCGTTTCGTTGTATACACCCTGCATGCGTCGTAGCCATTCCAAAAGATGCCATGGGAGGCTTTGTGACGTTGTGCTTGGAGCGAAATCGAGAACATGGCTGACATGAGTTTTTGCGGGGAAAATATGAGCGGGGAATCTTTTCAAGGGGAACGTAGAAAGGACAGAATGGGGACAGTCCTGAGGTGGGGAAGACGAAGGGAGACCCGGCATGCAGGAGGTGAGTGGGTCGCCGTGAGAGTGGCGTCGGGACCGACGGAGGGTGCTGCCACACACACGCAAACAACGTGTTGCGTGGACGCAGCGGAAACGGGGCGCGCAAATATGTATGTACTTTGGAACCGTAATCATTCTTTTTCACCCCCCCTGTCGATTTGAATGAAATAGTTCAGTATCGCCGACGTGGCCCGCTCACAGGTTGCTCCACTGCACTGTGTGAGCATTTTTTGCGGGCACACCTCGTGTCAATGTGCCTTCTGACATGTGCTGAGTCGCATGAAAGG